GGGCTGTGGCTTGCAGGTGGCAGAAGCATGATGGGGCATGGGGTAGGTTGCAGCAGAGCCATGAACCAGCTCTTATCTGTGCCAGAACAAAGTGCAGTTTGGTAGTGCCAGGCTGAGATGGGAGGGGACCTTGTCATGATGATCATTTCATTGTAAGTAGCCACAGGACTGTTAGTTCCTCTGGAAGCCAGCTAAAAATGCCAAAACCTGCCCTTGAATCAGGCTGCAGTGCTTGGCTATGATGACCTTGAGGAAAAGCAAGGAAATGCTCTGCCTAGGCTTCTCTGAGGAACTGCGTCTCTGAATGTGGGTGTTGTGGGGATGGCGGTTTCCAGTATCCCAGGCCTTGTGTGCATACTGGTCTGCTGATGCCACACTTGGGGTTCAGATGGTAAGAGTCTCTCATGCCTAGAGATCCTGGAAATCTGTTAGGCTAGCAGAAAACTTGTCATATCTTTTCCAGCTGGGAAGTAAATTGGAAGTCATCTTTGTGTTTGTCCTCCCACTGTGGTCTCTCCTGACCCCGTTATCCCTTGAGAGAAATACTCGTGAGCCTGCCCAGAATACAGACTTTGACTACCTTGTGCTCTCTCTGCCTTTTTCACACCAGCCCCAGACTCCTCACCTGGAAGAAGACTTGAAAGAGGTGCTCCGAAGTGAAGCTGGCATCGAACTCATCATAGAGGATGAGGTGAAGCCTGAGAAACAGAAAAGGAAACAAGGGGTGAGCTGATTTTGCATCCAGTACCTGCTGCTGAGCTGCCCTCTGCTGTTAGGGGGTGTTTTGGTTGGTTTTATTCATCTTGTTGTTGATGTCAAAATGTTTTTGGCCCCTTGACCGCTGTCTTTGAATCAGCAAGAGGCACTTGAGGTTAAGGCCTGCTGAAAATACTGCCAGCCATGTCCTGGTTTATACTGAATTCAGGGCTTGCTAGGAGATGCTGTGTTGCTATCCTACTGGAGAGACCCATGGCACGCTTGGAGCTTCTGGGGCACATTGGGCTCCCAGAAGGCTGTGGGCTGGTACGAAGGGTCTATTGGCTCAGTTTCTTGGTGACCTTCCTACTGAAAGGGTCTTTGTCTTCTAAATTGGTGGCTGCAGGTGCCAGGAAGAGAGCACTGGAAGCTGCTGTGCCCTGTGGTGGGGAAGGCTGCAGCAATCCTTCTTTCTGAGATGCTGGGGCCATGCAGACCCAGGATGACATGGGCTTGGTGTGTACCCTGGGCCCTAAGGATGGCAGTCTTCTGGGTGGATTCATGCTAACACTGTTTTTTCTATGTCCTCCAGTTGCGCAGGAGTCCCATCAGGAAGGTCCGGAAGTCTCTAGCCTTGGATATTGTGGATGAAGATATGACACAAAATCTGCCTGCCCTCCCCAAGACTGTGTGTTTCAAAAGAGCCCAGGTGAGGAGTTCTGCATTCAGAGCAGGGACAGAGCTATCTCTGCTCTGAAAAACACCCCTGTCCAAAGCAGCCTGCAGCTGCCTTTGAACAGTCCATGTGAATGTGGATGAAAGTCTGTATTTCTTCTTTCCTTATAGTTTTCCTTTTTTTTTTTTTTTTTTTTTTTTTTTTTTTTTTTTTTTTTGTCTTTTCAGCCTGTGAATTTCCTGTCAAGGTCCCTGAACCTTTCCTCCTCGAGCAGGAAGAACGACAGTCATTTGCTCAACAGAGCTTTCATGCAAGTGCAGCCAGAGAAAATGTCCTACAGGAAAATGCCAAGCCATTTCAGGCCACCAGCACCAGTAAGCCCTGCAACCTCTGCTCTCTCAGCCAAGAGTTCAGCTTCCAGTGCAGCCCTTGTCCCTCCTTGGGAGGAGGAGTGAGGGATGAAGCTCTGAACTACTGCATAGGCACCACTACACGTTCAGGGCTGTCCCTGCACCAAGCTTGGGAGATAACAACCAGTACTGTCAAACTACAGCCTCCTTCTGTTTCTTTGCAAACCTACTTTCCTGCTGGGGCTCAAAGCCCTGCGGTTGATCAGAGCTGTGACCCGCTTAGCATGTTTGGCCCTGGATTTCCTCATGGGAATTTGCACCCTACCCCAATCCGTCAGGGAATTTGGATGATTGATCTGGCTCTGAAGTAAACTTTCCTTTTCCCAGTGAGCACTCCTTGGGTGGACAGCAGTAAGCTCATCTTTTTTGTTTCTCAGGGTATGCGACTCTGAAGTGCTATATAAAGCTTAAGCACATTAAGCTTATTTCTCACCCCTCTGATTTTTAGGGTGTTTCTGGGTGGTGGGGAAGGCTGTGTGCCTTAGCCAGCTTAGGCTGACTTCATCCTACGTTATCCTGAACCCATTGCAGTATGGAGCTCCATCTGACAGGCTACCCTTGTAGCTTGTGCTGAGGTTGGTGCTGTTACAGCAACCCTTTTCCTCAGCTCTGCACAGTTGGATCCAGGTTGTGCTGGAGTCACAGCAGCCTAAAAATGCCCTCTGGGACATAAGCAGATCTCTTTAAAATCTTCACCACTTGCAGGCAGGGTGCATTAGTAGAGGGATATCCCTGCTTTGCTGAGAAGTGTGGCTTAGAGAAGGGGATTTGGATCATGATTTTGCAGGTGTTTGCTTGGACCAAGTAATTGGAGCTCTCTAGTAGCTTGAATGACGATGGAAATACCTGCTGTCCTTAGTGAGGGGGTGAAACTGCAGCTGGGGGCTCCTGCGGGGGTGGTTTCCCACCCCAGAAGAGTCCAGCTGCTATGTCGTCCTCACTGAGCACCGTAGCTCAGTCTTCAGGAAGCACTGCAGTGAGGGGGGTTGCACCTGTCCCTGCATTAGAGCTGTCTTGTGGAAGCTCTTTCTTCTGAAAGATGAATACTGCTCAGCCAGAATAATTCCTTCTCCTTCCCAAAATAAACCCTTCTTAAAGACTTCCATTTCTCCTCCTGTCCTCAGCAGGGTCAAGTTGTTCCAAGAGCTAATAGATCCATATAAATAAAGCTTTGGGAGTGACTTGAAGGTGGCAGTGCAGCCGTTTGTGTGGCAACAGAGTACAGATGTGCAGTGAAATCCCATTGCCCAGAGACAGCAGAGCTGTCTGAGCTGCTCCTGGGCTCTGGGGATTTATTGTGCTGGGCTGGTGGTGCTTGCAGTCAGTTACTTATGAAGGGAGCTCATCCAGCTGTGGGCTGAACCTTCATCAGCCCAAAGCCATGCTGGGGCTGTGTGGAACATTCTCGCTATGAGCAAACACTGAAGCTCAAGCTCTGGTTCTCTGCAGTGCATGTAAACAGGTATTTCCAGTTTAGGGTGTTGAGTGTCTCCTGGCTGCATTTATCAGGAGATTCACAGGGGCTTTCCTGAAGTGCAGAAACACTTTGTGGGTGCCCTTTCTGCATGCAGAGACTGAAGCACACCTTATTTTTGGTTATTCCTCTGTGCTGTGGGACTCTGCCGAAACTGAAGACACGTAATTGCTGTTAAGAGTCGTCTTCGATCAGCTAGACCTGGGGTTGAGCAGCTCCTGTAGAAATGGTACTGGTTGGGAATAAACCCCAAAGCTATGCTTGAATTTCTTCCATCGCTGGAATCCCTTCAGGGCTTGTGCTTTGGGGTTTTTGTCTTGAGGCAAGTAAGGAAAAGCCCTGAAAAGGTACGTGAGTTGTCCTGAAATGGAGCACTCACCTGGAAAACTGCTGAACCTTACCCTTAGAAATTACTGCCTGACCCTGTGATGAGTAACTGGTGGTGTGCAAGTTCCTCCTGGTTGCGAGATGGGTGCTGAAGTTTGATTTCCCCTAGGTGGTAGCAGATGGTTGATAGGTCTGTTTATTTTTGCAATCTTTTTGAACACGATGTTGACAAGATGTTTGTCCTCTCCCTTAACTCTCTTGCACACATCCTTTCTTTTCCCTCTGCAGATGACCAGGGCTTGGAAAGCAGTGGCCTGTGGTGGAACCCGAGACCAACTCTTCATGCAGGAGAAAGCTCGACAGTTTTTGGGCACGTTGAAACAGAGTCACACATCAAGGACCTTAATCTTATCATGAAGGATTGTTCTGCTTCTTGATTTTATTTTTTAAAACTTTAAATAAGTGGAGGGGGAACTGCAGGAAAAAATATCCTCTGCCGGACCTTAGTGTGTGGGAGTGGATTTTTCTTTTCCTTCTGTTCCCAGGTAGATTTATATTGTAACAAACTGGGCTAACTGCTGGCTAGTGTGTGGAATGCAAGCTTTGGGATCATTATTGAAAGGCAAACAAAGGTTGGAGAGATGACAGCAAGACGTCTCCCTGCAAGGCCTGAGTTCTGCAAAAATAGAAGGAGGCAGCTGTGGTCCACCTTGGAGCAGCATGTGCACACTGGCCTCACAGCATCCCTGGATTTCCTCTTGACTGCTCTAGTTCCTCAGGAATGGCTTTTGTGAAGGTTTCTGCGTGCCTTGTGCCTCCTTTCCAGATTTCCCCAGGGGATAGAGTTGTCCTCCTTTGCTCAAGGAGGAGGGAGAGCATGGTGCTTTGGGGTGAACTGTGCTGGGAGCTGGCCCCTTGCTCCCCGGGGGAGTGCTTTTTTACTGCCATGGCTCCAACTGGGAGTGGCGGGTGCCTCTTCCCAGGACTCCTTCTTCAAATAAACAATGGTGCTCACATCCCCCTGTTCCTCAGACTCTGACTCTGCTCAGGGGAGGCTGTGCTGGGGTGGGGAGACGCAAAGTGCTGGTTTTCGTGTGGAATCTTTGCTCTCCTGGCAAGTTGCTGAATTCCTGTTGACTTCTCAGCATAGAAGAGAAAGGACGTTTTCCTCCCCACTCTTAGTAGTTTCATCAGCTGTTTAGAAATTTTAGCTGCTGTCACGGTGTGTTTGAGCTCTGTGTGATTGGGATCTTTGCAGAGCTGCAGGAGTGGATGGAGGCTAGAGAGAGCAGGGGGCTGGGAAAGAGCAACAGGAGTGTGTGATGCCTTCTCTGTTCCCCTTCCTTTTGAGGCCAAAGCTGTATCCATGTAACTATTGTGTGGAAACAGTAGCAGTGTCCTGTTTTAAGATGTAGCCATGGATGAAATGTGGCCATTTGCAATTGAAAAGGTGCTGAAGAAACAGAAGAGCAACACACCAGTTACACCAACAGGAAGAGGTTTTGGGGCTGTCCTTGGCCTCTGGCTGGGGTGGCTGAACAGCAAAGATGTGTGGAGGGTCTGTTCACCCCAGTGCTTTTTACCAGGGTCCCTGTCCCCAGTGCCTTGGCAGGGGGGAAAACGAGAGCAGGGCTGTATAAATTTCATTTCAGATTGTGGCTTATGTTTGAAATAGAGTAAAAAAAATCCTTGCTGACAAACTTGTTAGGAAAACCTTGGATCCTGGGAAATGAGGGAGGTTTAGAAACCCAGCTCATTTTTCATTTTTGCAAGCTTGGGGCCAGAGCAAATCTATGAAGTAACTTTTATTTCTTTTTCTCAGTCCTGCAATGTTTGCTTTGGAAAGACAGCTGGGATCACTTATCCGAAAGCCTGGCTTTAGCTCCTCCCATTCTGGTGTAGTTTTTAAGAGATACTGTCATAAAACCATCCCTCTCTGCTCAGGCTTTAGCATGCTTGGCTCTTCATGTGCTGGGTGACTTTACAAATCCAAGTTCAGAAAAGAAAATGAAAAATAAAGAATAAAAAATTAAGGAAATAAAGGAGGCAATAGAAAATACAAAAGAAAATTAAAGAAAAAAAATAAAAGCGGGCAAACTAGAAAGGCACTAATAAAATGAAAAGTGAAATGAAAGGGAAAAATAAGCCTTTCTATGTTGCTTTGGCTATCCTGATTCTAACTTTTTTTCAGAAACACAAGTAGAACAAGTACTGAAATAGCGCTGAACTTCAGCAGCAACCGGGACTGCGCAGGAGAAGGAGGGTGGGCAGCGGGCCTGGGGCGGGCAGGGGGATGGGGGTGGGGGCGGGCACTTAAAAGATTTCGGCCAGGGAGCTGATCTCAGCCAGCACCCAGTCGGGGCAGTCTGAGTCCCCGTAGAAGCAGAACTGCTGCGTGGGGAGAGGCGGTCAGAGGCGCACTGCCGCTCTGCGTCCTCCCCGCTCCCCGCCGCCGACTCCCGGCCCACCACGTCGCCGCTGCTCCCCGGTCCCCCATGCCGCACAGTCCGCCTTCGCGATCCGGAACCGCCCCGTGTGCCGGTGGGGGGCTCCCCGAGGGGCTCTGCAGGGGCCTTGGGGCCGGGACCCCGGGGGTGCAGCCCGACCAAGGGGCGGGGCAGGGGACGGGGTCCCGGGAGCGGGACCCGGGACGGCCACGGACCCGCGGGAAGGGCCCCTCCGACACGGCCCTCGTCCCTCCTCCTGGCCACCCGAGCACCTCCCGCCACCCCGCGGGCTCCAAGCCCCGCCAATCCGGGCCCGAGGCAGCGTCTGGCCCGCCAATCCCGGCCCGCCTTTCTCGGCGCCGTCCAATCACAGCCCGCCTTTTCAATCCGGCAGCGGTCCCGCAAGCTCTGCCCGCTCAGCCGCGGCGCGGCCCCTCCGAGCGGCACCGTCCCCCCGTTCCCCTCAGGTGCTGCTGGGACCACGGAAGGGCGGTGGGAGCTCCGCGGTCACGTTCCGGTCGGGGAGCTCTCCCAGGAGAAGGGGAGGGAGGCGGGGAGCGGGAGGGAGGGGCTCCGGGAGCGGGGATCTGGACTTTGGAGTTGGTATCGGGTTTGTGGGGCTGGAGGAGTACCTGGGGGACTGGGATTGGGAATGTGAAGTTGGAGCCAAGATGAAGATCCTGCAGTGAGAACCTGGAGCAGCTTCCCGTGGCGGCGCTGGCAAGATGCAGAGCTACTGCTGAGAGAGCAGAGCTGGCCGTGCAATAAAGCTTGTGGGTCTCGAGCTGAAATCACTGAGGGGCTGGGATAGGGACAGGGTTTGGGCTTGGGACTGTAACACTTGGGCAGGAATCAGTGTGGGGAGGAGATAGGTCCTGTGGCACCGTCGCTGAAATCTCTATGCAGCCACCAAAGAAAGACTGGTAATGGCATCTGGGTGGGTAAGCAAAGCAAATTTAATGTCTTACCACTGCTTAATTGTATGAGCTCTTCTGATTCAGCTGAGGATAAACATCTTTTAAATGCAGGTGGTGTATATTTGAATATCCTGACAGATTAACAAGTAACTTCTGAGATCTGAGTATGTCCAGGTTCTGGAGGACATTCAAAACTTCTCTCTTCCATCTCTTTCAGGGCAGTCAGAAAACGGGATGAGCCTTTTGGGGGAATTCAGCTAATCATCTGTGGGGACTTCTTGCAGCTACCTCCAGTTTGCAAGGCTAATGAAGAAACCAAGTTCTGCTTCCAGGTACAAAACTGCCCCTGAACTCATTCTCATACTTCAAGTCTGTCTCTTTCTTAACCAGAGAATGATTTTTGCAGGCAAAAAGCTGGAGGAAATGTATCCACATAAACATGGAGCTGACTGAAGTGCGGCGACAGACTGACAAGACCTTTGTCTCACTCCTGAGTGCAATACGTTTAGGCAGGTGAGGAGAAGCTCATCTCTTTGTAATCTCCGCTCCCCACCTATGGAGCAGAAGAAAGAGCAGTTTGTCACTTTCCTGAGCTCTATCAGGAATATGTAGCTGGGGGCAAAAGCTATAAAAGCTTTAGTTAACATGGGCAGATTTCATATATCCTGCTCTGGTAAGGAAGGACACTTTCTAGGGTTCCTCCTTGATTTCTGTGAGCTAATTCAATGGATCCTGAGCTGGCAGTGGCCAGGGCCCACACACTGGCACTGTTCTCCAACTTTTATATATCTTTCTCTGTCCTCCTCTCTGGAGGCCTGCAGCTTGCACAGACAGATCCAGCTGTGTGAAGGTTACTGCTGCTCAAGACCTGTTCCTGATCACTTTAAAGAATAACTCCCTTTTCCTGGTTACTAGGTGCACAGAGGAGGTTACCAGGCAGCTGATGCAGACAGCTACTAACAGGTCTGAGCGTGATGGGATCCTGGCTACACGGCTCTGCACCCATAAAGATGATGTCGAAATAACTAATGAGAGACGCTTGCAACAGCTATCAGGTGAACTCCCTGGAGGAAACTGCTGGCTCTGGGGCTGAGCTCTGAGTGGATGCAGTGGGGATACTGTGATGTCAGGAAGAACTAGTGTTCTGTCATGCACAGCAGCACCAGTCAAAGCTCTGTGTGTTGGAGTTCGGCTGCCTGGGGAAAAACTTCAGTTTTTTGGTTAAATATTCAGTGTCACTTCTTGGTGTGTAATAGACAGCAAGCTCATTGATTGCTATGAAACAGGGTTGGTCATTTATTGCCTCCACACCTCTGCTTTTTCTTTCTATTGCATCTTATTAAGGGCTTTCTCAATTTTTGCCTCCCTTTCTGGCAATATTTTCTGGATACTTCCTATAGTGATCTGATGTTGGCAGCAAATGAAACTAGTCATATGCTCAAAATGCTGGCTGCTCAGTTCTTATTTACTGCTGGCCTTTGATTCCTGTGCCTTTTCATGCTCTGCAAATTCTGTTGGGAAGAGATGCAATAGTGAGCTCTCTGTTGTTAGATGTGACAAGGTTTGTGTGAAGATGTCCTAGCAGCAGAGCAGAATGGATATTAAAAGAGAAATTGCTATTAGAAATAAATGCTGAGCCTCCTGTCATGCTGTGTATAATGTGTTCAACAGCTGCAATTTGTTATGTCTTTCCTTAACAGGAGAAGTGCACACGTTTGAGGCTTTGGATAGTGACCCAATGCTAGTGAAGTTAATTGATGCTCAGTGTCCTGTGGGTGGTAGAGTTGAGCTGAAGCTTGGAGCTCAGGTAAGTGTGTGTACATACACATGGAATAGAACAGCAGATCAAATGGTATAAGAAAAATAAAGGAATATCAGATAAATATACAGAGTAGATTAATACGCAGAATGCAGATTCAATATAGAATGTCTATGCCAGGCCAACAGAAGATTCTATTCCAATCTTTTATATTTTCTCTGCTTGGAATCTTATCAAAACAAAAAATGAGTTTGATTTGAGTGCAGTCCATGTCTTGGGGACAATGATGATTGCTGTGACTTTGATACACTTTTCCAATCAGGTTTAGAAGCTTTCAGTAGCAGAGAGCATAGGCAGCTCATAGCTGTGGATGGAAGCAGCTCAAGTGAAGTGTTCAATGCTGTAAAATAGCTGGGAATCCTAGGAAGGAAAGGCTGTGAAATAATTTCAGTTGGAGATGGTGCTCTCTCCTGCAGTAGGCAGGATAGGATGATATGGTCATATCAACCTGATGTGCTTATGCTTCCTGGAAAGAAGCTTAACTGCAGGTGGCTGAACAGGCTGTAAACCCAGTGCACTGAAGGATTTTTCTTTTTCTCTGTAGGTGATGCTAGCAAAGAATCTGGATGTGTCTCAAGGGCTGGTGAACGGGGCACGAGGCGTTGTTGTAGGATTTGAAAGTGAACAGAAGGGTAAGTGAGCTTCTTGATCTCTTGTTGAAGGAAGAGGGGAAAAATAACAAAACAATTTTTCATTGATGGCTGATGACTTCTCAACTTTGTTTACTGCCTGGTAAGAATAATTAGAGGGAAAGCAGGGAGGAGATCTCTGCAGGCTTGGGGCTCTCACCAGCTGTTATGTCATGCACTGCATCAGCTGTAGCTATCTATGGGCCTCTTGTGTTTGCTTTTCTGTGTTGTCTAGATGTGGGTGCTCATTTGCATTTCCTGTTTTCTTTTGTTCAAGCAAGTTTTTGTTTGTTTTTTCTCAAAGAATAATGTTCTGCTACCTGCAATGTGTATTTTTCTCTGCATCTCAGCTGATAAATTACCTGACTTTAATTCTCCTGCCTTAAGTAGGTGCCAAACATCATTTCAGTGCATGCTATTTACTGTCTGCGGGTTTAAGTTTGGTTTAGGAGGGGGGGGAAAAAGTGTTCTTAGGCTGCTGACTTCCTGGCTTTTGAGTGTCAGGAATACATCTCTGTTTCTCTCCTGCTCCCATTCCTACAGGGCTGCCTAAGGTGAGGTTTCTCTGTGGGGTCACACAGGTTATAAGAATGGAGAAATGGGTCTTCAAAGGACCATCAGGAGTTCACCTGAGTCGTCAACAGCTGCCTTTAAAATTGGCATGGGCCATTTCCATTCACAAGAGTCAGGTGGGTGTCCTTATACAGCTGTCTAAAGACTTGCACACCATCATAAGCCTTATTTCCTGGGTGAGCTTGCATTGCTGGTAAAACAGAAGGGAAAGCTGAAAGGCCCTTGTTGGGGGGGGGAACTCCAGAATATGTGTGTTTAGCTGCACCTCATCTGCTCATGATGCCTGCCTATAGGGTCACAGATGGACTAGATACACTGCTGGAGTTTCCATGGGGTGCTGCCATCTGCATAGTTGGTGTTGCACTATAAAGCAGCATTATTTACCATTGTGGGCTGATGAGAGCAGTGTTTCCTTGAGAGTCATCAGCACTGAGAGACCCTGAGGTTTACAGTATAACTGAGGCAGCTGCCAGAGCCACAGCTCTCTTTGGGCTGAACTCGCTCTTTGGTGGGGTGTGTTTGGTTTTTTTCAATGTAACAGTGTAACTTTCTCAAAGTTCCTTCCCTTCCAGAAGGCTTCCTACACTTTGATGAATACTGGTCTTGGAAACCTGTGAGTTTGTTCCCATGCCACTGCTTATTGTTCCTGTGCCACTGTTTAAACCAGGGCAGGCTGTAAATTCTGCTGTGCCCAGGACAGCCCTGCAGACAGGCCTAACCCAAACTCTCTGATCTGCCTGAGGACTGCTTGAGAATGGTGACTGCTCTAGTTAACTACTAGGAGTGAAACCAGCAGGATTTCTTTCCCTGCTGTGTTGATTAGATGGGATTTATGGAGTTTCATGCAACAAGAGGTTCTCTGGAGTTAGTGGATTCTACTATCTGCTAGCAATTTACTGACAGTAGGAAACTGCCTTTCCTTTCTGATTCTCATCTTTTAATCAGTTACACAGTAAAACAAAAGACTTCTTTGTTTTTTTCTTTTTTTTTAATCAAGCCCTTACACCAAGAACGGTACCTTTGACAGACTCACAGGTTAGTGTTGGTACAGCACAGTGTTCTTGTTTGTTTGTTCTGTAACAAAGTTCTCTGTGTCTTTGGCAGGGCATGTCTTTAGACTGTGTGGAAATCTCCCTGTCTCGTGTCTTTGAAAGTGGGCAGGCTTAGGTAGCCCTCTCCCGAGCTCGCAGCCTTGCAGGTCTCCGTGTTCTGAATTTTGACCCAAAAGTAGTGAGAGCTGATCCTTCTGTGCTGCACTTCTATAGACAGCTGAGGCATCATCAGCTTTTAACCCAGGTAAAGAAAAACCTCATGCTAGCAAAGCCTGCTTTGTGCTACCAAGATGAGAGATGTTGGCCCTGAGATGCTTCTTTTTCTTCCTAAGCAAGACCATTCAAATTAAAACTTGTAGTGGCAGGAGAGATGAAACTGCAGAGAGAGCATGTGGCAGGGCAGCTCTTGGTGGTAAAATAGCTACAGTAGTTTTGGGATTGTATAAAACTACCTGGCCCTGTGGGTGAAAGGATAGGTTGGGATTCTTTGGTCTTCCTCTTGCAGTAAGGAATGAAGGGGAAGTGCCAGTGAGGGGCTCAGCTGTGCCCCGTGGTGGGGTTGTCCTGGAACTGGTTGGAATTCGCTGTGTCGGGCACGGGGCAGCCCCGACCTCTCCTCACAGAGATTCCCAACACATGTGCACAGGCACCTCATACACCAAGTGTGTGAGCAGCTTTCAAACTGCCCCACCACCCTTGCCTGCAGCAGTTGGGTGGTTGGATATCCTGGGATACAGAGGAAAGGCTGGAGGTGCTGTGGTAGGTGAGGGGGAATGGCTGGTGATGGAGGAGCTGCCACGGCCATGGGGCACCGGGCAGGAGCTGGCCTGGGGTGCAGCTGGAGCCCAGCTGGTGGGAGAGGCACTCCATGAGGGCACATGGCTGTGCAGCAGGGGCCTGGGTCCCTGTGGAAGAGGAGGCTTCCATTACTGCACTCCCATAAACATGGGGAATTAATATTGTCCTCTGCTTTCACAAACTGAAGAGCAAGAATTTAAGCTTGGTGTTTACCTTAACTGCAGCTATCATTAAGTGAATTAAACTAGGAGTTAGATACATAATTGGTATTTCTGTTACCTCAAAGTACAGCCATTCTCTTTTCAAATACATTAAACAATAAGAAACTGCTTTATACCAGGTAAAGCTTCATAATACATTTATGTGTTATTGGAAGCATAATTCACAAGCAGAGTGTTATTAAAACCTTACCAGCTTCCAGTTTAAATCTTTGTACAGTGATTTAGCGCCCTTCTCGTTTCTTTATGTGACATTTTCACAATAATTAAACATGAATGTGTCCTCAGAGTCTGTACCCACAAGTCCTGTGAGTGCAGGAAAGGCAGCAACAGTCCTGTTGATCTCAGATGCTGTAATAAGATTGTGTCCAGGAATTAGATCTTCATATCCAGAGTTGCTCTGAATAGATGAAACAAATACTACTCTTAAGTGATGGAAATAGAGTACATTATAGGTTATGTTATGAATGCTAATAATGTAATTTTTCTCACAGATATGAAAAGTTTCTCATTTTGTATTATGCCACTCTGTGACATGCAATTGTCTTCTACTGTTAAATCTAAGCAGCTCTATTATTAGCCTGAGAAAAGACCTGAATTGCTAGAGATTGCATTTAGATGTGTAAAATCTCTATTTCGCTGCTTCCTGTATAATTATTTTATGCTTGTTTCTATTACAGATTATAAGGATGTTGGATGGAATTTTTTAGCTAAACTACTGACTAGGATATAATGTATGAAATCTGGTTGTAAAAGCAAAATAAGTTAATAAAAAAATCTAAGAGTAAAGTTTTTCACTTATAATTATTGAATAGTGCACTAGCAGAATTTTTAATTTTTTTTTTTTTTTTTAATTTGGTATGGTGTTGATGCAGAGGGCTGTCAGATGTGACAGAGAACCTATGAGAACCCTTCTGGGATGGCAGCTGGGTAGGCACCAGCAGCATCCTAACTGGTACCATGTGCCCATGTGTGGGCAAACAGATCAAGCCTGCAGTGTTCTAAATGTAACTGTAACACTTTTTTTACTAAATTGTTTATTACAGTCCCTTTGCAAGAAGGTAGAGCTATGATAAAGATGCCTCTGACAGAAATTTGACTAAGATTTTTAATTATAATTGATTCTTTTATCACATGGAGTTTGGCATTTTGGGTTTTTTTCTCTTATTTCTCAAAATGTATGTTTTTTGTCACCAAGTAGGGGAATATGTACACAAACCACACTTTTCATCTACTCTCCTCAAGCCACTGGGCTATATCAGTTTTCTGTGGGGGTACATATATTTTTTTTTTTTTTTCCAATTATTAACACCCTGAGAATTACAGGGAGATTTGCCCAGACTTTGTTGGAGGTTAGGAGCTGGTCCAGCTCTTTGAAGATTCTGGATCTTGTTTTGTTTATTGAAAGATCTGTGATTCCCTATCATCAAATATCAGCTTAGAGAGGGTATAATGTATTTTGAAGACAGTGCTAGACAGTAAAAATATTACTAGAACTTCTTAAGGTTATTCCAGTAGCTCATAATTGACAAAAGTGAGGCAACACATATCTTTTAGTATTTCCAGGTGAAGGCTGGACAGACTTATTAAACATAATAAATGTCAAAAATATTTATGTGGATTAGTGAGAATAACTTGGATTAAAAAACAATTTTCAAAGTTTGTAATTTACCTTGGAAGTTGTACATATGATCAGCCTGGTTTTAAGTTGTTCCGTAAAAACATTCCTGGTAAGCTACCTTCTTGTTTTTATTGGATTAGTGGGACTCCTTCTAATAAAATATTTGACCATAATAACACCAGGTACTTTCAACTGACACTTTGCAATACAAAGTAAATTTTAAAAAGAAATCTTGAACACAGTATTCATCACTGTACCAAGTGGTGACAACTCCAAGTAGCGTGCTGATTTAGAGTAGTTCCCAAGCATATTTGCAGATTCAATATGCATATGGGTCTTTGGGATGAGTAAGAGATCTAGTATGTTCCAAAAGTGCCTGAAAGAATCACAGAATCAACCAGGTTGGAAAAGACCTCTGAGATCATCAAGTCCAACCCTTGATCCAACCCCGCCGTGGTTCCCAGGCCATGGCACTGATGCCACATCCAGTCTCATCTTAAAAACCTCCAGGGATGGTGAATCCACCACCTCCCTGGGTTATGGGCTGGTTATGTATTCTTAGATTTCATCCCAAACAAGTGGCAAAAGACACAAAAAAACCTTGATAAAACTCATCAAAAGGGAAGACTTAACAATTACTGTGGAGCCTAAATAGAAGAGAGGATTTTGCAAATGAATTAGATTCTGCAGTGGTCCCTTTCCTTCAAAATGATCTATTTTACTTTTACATTATGGAGCCCTCTCATTTATTTCCAGAGTCCATTTCTCCCCCTCTTTTCCTAAGGTGTGGCTATGTTGTGAATAATTGATGCTTCTGCGTAGAAAAATATTTTCTTTATCATGTTGCAGAGTTTGGACTTCCACCAACCCATTAACTCAAAATAAACTCATAAGCATTCTACTGTCTGATCAGTGTCTGCATAGTGACATTTATCAGGAGAGAGAGAGACACAAGAAATAGTCAGCGACTGGAGATTCTTACAGACTGGAATAGTGACACTGTAATCTTGCTCGTTCCCTCCCTATACCTATCACCCCCTTTTCCAATCTCTATATTGTGTGTGTGTCTATATTGTGTCTATATTTAGACACAGCTAAAACGACTGTTAGAAGTGTCCCTTGACATGTGTTCAAATCCAAACCACAGGTATTAAAATTCACTTGAAAAAACAACAACAACAACAACAAAAGACAATTTAAGCATTTTCTGGTTCCAGGACATACAACAGAAAAGACATCACCATTACTAAGCTCATTTCTGAGGTCAACAGATGGTCTTGCTACATTTAGAGTCCTTGGAAGTTGTTTGCTCTGTTCTTTGTAACAGAAAACACCTGGGAAGTAGATTCAAAAGACTGTATCCAGTAGACATGATCCAGTAGACATGATCTGAATTAGAAATAAATAAAGGAGAGTCTGATGTTATCACACAGTATATTTCATGAATCCAGTCGGTGGCAGCAGCCCACAGATGCTTAGGCTAGAGATGCTTTAGTAGATAGAACAATTTGCAACATTGTGTGAGCCATCAGCACAGCATAATAAAACCTCACGGAGGTATGTGGTTATACCTTTTTCTGAAAAAAGAAAAAAAATTTGAAAAGCACAAAATAACTTCTTATCTGCAAGAGTTCATTAACAACTGCCAGCTATGTATCATACAAGTGAAAGGAAGAGTTCTTTAAATGGGAACTTACAGAGGTACCATGGCACTTGAGTAATTAATACTGTACCCTTGTATCAACTATCTCTGCGTCTTGTTTAAAGGAAAAAATACCACACACTTTTTTCTTGTCATGGTTTTACACTGCCATCCAACACCTGACACACAAATGATTGCTATTTAGCATCGCTCCCCACTCTGGTCACATCCATTGATGATCCATTCAGAGTAACTCCTTGCAATTATCATAACAAAGACTGGGGATAGACATGCATACATGGTACTAAAACTGAATAACCACAAAGTATTTCGCACAGGCATTCTCCAATTTTCTCTTCCATTTATGGATAATAACACTATTTGCAGAAAGGGCAGCAAAACTTTTCTCCGGGGATTTATTTATAACACACAGTCTTGCTTACTCAAATGTAAATAACAGGCACCGCGACCCGTCTGTAGCCAGGGGCTGGGCGTGTGCCCGCGTTGGAGACCCCTGTAAGCAGGGCGGCAGCCTGTTTGGCTGTTGAATGGTTTAGGATACAGGAATCTCTTCCCTGAGGTTAAAAAGCCTTTTAATACATGGTATGTTTTCCATGTGTTAGTACTTCTCTGCTACAATCAAGTTACCTTTCAAACTCTTTTTTCATAAGCTTAGCGAATTGCATTCATTCTGTCCTTCACAGTAGGGCTTTTTTTCAAGCATTCAGATAATCTTTGTGGCTTTCTTCTTACACCGCCTTCATTTCTTCCACTGTTAGAAACACTTGACACCTGACTTGTAAGCAATATTCTAGTACTGGCTTCATTAAAAAAATTGCCTTCCTATTCCTACACACTGCCTTCCTGAATAGATTTTAAAAGTCTTCTTAATCCTGTTTAACTCACACACACAACACACACAACAGTGTGTTGACTCAGTTGTTCAACATGACTTATAAGCACTTTTCAAAGTTGCTGTTTTCAAGGATACTGTCCTCCCCTCCATACTTAAAAATTTTATTTTTTAGACATACAGCTCTTCATGTGAATATATTAAACCAGCAGCTAACTGCACGGGTTTATTCTCTTTACCAAACTATCCATGTTACTCTGTGTGACTTCAGCATCATTATCTGTCATGCTGTCAAATTTCTGTGTCATCTGCATATTTTGTCCATGGTGATTTTATATTTAAATCCAGGGGATGCATAAAACTGGCATCACTTTTCTTTGAGTGCTTTCCTTTGGAAGACACAATTTTAAACAGCCTCACTGGATGATTATTTCTCACTGGCAATATTTTTCTAACCCATCAGTTCCAGACTGTATGTGCTACAGTGCCAGCTATTTTAAATGAGCAGTAGCATATTGAGCTCGCTAGATTAACAAGCTAACAGTTAAAGCATATGATATCTCCACAGTAGGATTACATTTGTAATCTCTCAAATAGTTAAATTAGGCCTATTTTCTATAAATTACTTGTATGAATTTAATTCTTCATCACTGAAATCCTTTGCCTTTTTCCTCTATTGCACCTGGATCATGTCAAGTTAACAGGCCCTTTAACTACAAGTCCTTCATAAATACTCCTAAGTTATTCACAGGCTTCATGCTTCTGTAATTTCCTGAGCATTCCAAAATTCATCTCAAAAACCTGGTTAGTGTGTGTGAAGTGCCTCAGCCAAATGTGGTTTTTTTTTAAGGACTTTCAAGTGTGAATGATCCCAACTTGATCATTCAAAAAAAAAATTGTTCCAGGAAAGTGGGTGCCATCTGTGTCCCTGAGGGGGAGGTGGGTACCTTGTGTACCCCTGAGGGGCTGCGTGACTCACTGAGAGGGACCTGAGTATCCCCTGTATCACTGAGGAGGGGTGGGTGTTCTGTGTGTCTCTGAGGGGGAAGAGGGTGCCCCGAGGGCTAAGCGGGTGTCTCCTCTGTCCCTTTAGGGGCTGTGAGGAACACAGGGCGAAAAGGGTGCTCTGGAGGGTCACCGAGGATCCCTGAGGGTGCCCTGAGGGAGACGAGACGGGGCGGGGCGGGGCAGTCGCCATTACGCTGCTTTTCCCGCCCTCCCCTCAGCCCCCTCAGCCACCTCAGCTGCAGTGTCCCGCCACTCCCCGGTCTGTGGGACGGGTGCAGGTAAAAGGCGCTTTGGAGAAGCTCGGCAGAAGGTTTTGGAGTTGCTCTAAAGAAGATTTTGGGCTGTTACAGACGTAATACAGTGTTGAGCAGCAGCGTCAGAAGGGCAGCACGGTCTTTCAGAGGAGTTATTGAGGAAAAAGCTTCTTGAACTTCGTCACCCTTGGTAAGGTAAGACAAAGGGGACTAAGAGTTTCAGAGAGGTAAAGCTGAGGGAACTTGGAAAGCACATGCAGGGGATGTTTTGAGGGAAGATCTCAGGTAAAGTGTGAGGGACAGACTGAAAATCTTGGAGGGAAAAGCTGAGTCGGGGACATTTTGGAAATTGAAATATGTGGAGTCCTGAGTGTCACTGAGGGGTTTTGAGGGTCACAAGAGGAGGAGGCT